ACGGTCTTGGTGGTGTCCAGGCCAGTCTGGATGGTGCCCTTGGCCATGTTCGCTGCCCCTGTCACCCCAGTGGACACTGCATCCTTGGTGCCCGTGAGTGCAGACCGGGTCATGCCCAGGCCTCCCTGCACGACACCTTTAGCTGTGTCCACCATGTTGGCCATCCCAGAGGAGATGGCACCCTTGGTCTTGGTCATCTTAGAGCACACCGGGTCCTTTGCCCCAGAGGTCATCTGATAAGAAAGGACACAAGTGGTCAAGAGGACAGCTGGAGACACTGCACCCCAGACTTCATCCAAGCTGATCCCTCGTGTGCTTCAGGGAGGGGGACTGTCCCCCAGAAAGCCAGCCGCTCACCTCCCACCCCAACACACTTTCCTCTTGTGCTGGTATCCAGCCTCAAGCAGCCCTATCCCAGTGGCAGATGGTCCCCATTGTTGATGGCAGGTTCCTACAGCTCCAGAGCCCTTGCCAAAGTCCCCTGAACTTGGGCTCAGTGCCACTCATTGAATGACATAGTGTGTTCACCCTGCCTACTCTTTACTTTTGGCAGCTTTGAGCCTGGTTTCCCCGTGAGTGGGGAGACCAACTCACTCATTAAAAAGAACATCTTCAAGTAAGAGTGGAGAATCAACATTTAGAAGAGTAATACCTGCAAAAGGACAGGGACAAGTATTGGGTTTGAGTCATGGGATCCCGTCAGCGATTTTCATCATTTTTGACCTCCCAAAGGGCGGTTTCTCTAGTTAGTTGAACTAACAAAGGGTGGTGATGGTCTCAGAGTGCCAGCAAGCAGTTTCAAGCACGAGTGTGCTGTTTGTAAGCCAGGGCTCCTGCACTGGGGTGCTTCTACCCTCCAGGGGACGCCGGGTGGCGTCTGCGGATGTCTGGGCTTGCTGCGACTCGGGGGAGAGGGTGCTCCTGGCATCAAGTGCACCTTCCCTGCAGTGCCCGGGACGTCCCACAACCAAGACTTATCTGGCTCCAAACAGCCAGACTGCTGAGGGGGAGGAGCCCAGAGATTTTATTCTTACCAGTGCCTGCCTGCTGCCCAGCATCATTTCAAGTGGGCATTTGGGCTCCTGCCTACGGAGACCTGAGTTCAAATCTCAGCTCTCTGCTCCCCGCTAGCCCCTCGCTGTGTGACCTCAGGCAAGCCATGTCCCCTCTCTGAGCTTTGTCTAGAGCATGGTGGCTAAAACAGCGCCTCCTTCAAGGATTATGGAGGAAGGGAGTCAAGGTGCCTGAAGCACTTTGCAGGTAGTAGGTGCTCAATTAATGTGGGTCGAGAGAGGCAAGGAGTGGAGAGGAAGAGGGGGAGGGAACAGGGTGTGGCTGCCACGGTCTGTTTTAATCTGGGCCGGAGGGCCTCTGGTGTCCTTCCCCCTTTGCCTTTGCCATCTGGCTGAGCTGAGGGTGGAGGAGTCCTAACAGGGCTCTGGAATCAGTCTCTCCGCTTGGCCAGGCCTTGGGGATGGGATAGCACGGGAGGTCCCCATCATCGGGGCAGCCTCCACCTGCCCAAGGTTCAGGTACTACACTACCACGCCTCGCTGTGTGACCTTTGGCCGGTGGCTCGCCTTCTCTGTGCTTCAGCTGCCGTGTGGGGTACTATGGCTCCCTTCCTCCCGGGGCCCGTTAACTGTGAAGCAGCACGCAGAGCGCACTGAGCCCAAAGCCCGACACACGGTGAGCTGCCTGTGTTTTCGGTCCCGTGATGCTAGACAGAGCCGGGGAGGTGGGGGGAGGGGGGCGCTCTCTGTTGACCACGTGGAGCCCTGCCGTGCTGATGTGCACACAGAAGCTCGGAGGGGAACCAGTACCTGGAATCCCACAGCAGGACACACACGGGCGTCTGCCCTCTGCTTGGCCTGTGACAACCCCTCGGAAGGCAGGAACCGAGATATCCCGGGAGGGGCCCCAGAAGGAGGTGGGGACCATCAGCCTCTGCCAGCGCCTCTCACCTTATCTGAAGGGAGTGGTAGCTTCTCCCCATGGGCCGTCTGCTCCAGGTTGGTGGCTGCTGGGGGGACAGTAGCTGGTCAGGCTAGCGGGAAGGGCGAGGGACATGGGCTGGCATTGGCCACCCCGGTGCCCGTTGCGCAATTGGTGGGCACAGCCTGAAAGGTCAGGAATGTCCCAGCCACCCTGCCAGGGACAGCAGGAGGGGACATCCACGGCCACAGGTCTGGCGCCGTCCCTGGCCCAGCGAGAGGCTCCGTTGACCTCCAGGGTCTCGGGCTCCTGGAGCAGAAGTTCTCTGGAGTTTTCCCTACCCGGACACTCCCCCGAGGGGGACGGCAGGAGGACTCAGGGCCTCGCCCCCCGCCCCTGCCACTGCTGGCAGCTACTCGTCGGGCCCAGGTATGTGGAGCAGAAGTCAGCAGCCCCAGGCTCCGGGCCCAGAGTAAGGTCCGGTCCAGGCAGCTGCCCCAAACCTACGCTCCCCTGCATTGGCCCCTCTGCGCGCCCCAGGGCTGCCCGAAGGGTGGAGAGCCCCCCCAGGCTGTGTGAGCCCCAGGAAGCCAGTGCCCCTTTCTGGGAACCGGGAGGGAAATCGTCAATGAGCTCAGACATGGGGTACACCAGGCCCTGGTCCGTGGTGCATCAGAAATGGGGTGGGAGGCAGGGGAAGGGTCGAGAAAGTAGGGGACATCGCAGGGAGACAGGCTGTGTTCACAACCCCACTGTTGCTGCTTACGCTACTTTGGGCCACTCACCTGCCGTATTGATGCCTCAGTTTCCCCATCTGGCACTAAATGAGCATGCCAGCCCCGTAGTGTCTGTTGAGATGACGCTGACACATACGAACCGCCCCCAAATGGCCAAAAGCCCCCTCTGGGGGGTTTCTTCCTGGGGCCCACCTCCAGAGCCCCTGCCTCCATGGAGCTGTCCACTCACCCTCAGTCTGGGGCTGGGCAGAGGCTCCTGCAGGATCGGCGACTGGCTGGGCCTCTTTCGCTGAGCTGTGGGCGCTGGCCATTAGGTTCCGGGCAGAGCTGAAGCCAGGCAGGGACCCCAAGAAGCTCCCCAGGGTCTACATGGGGCAAGGGGCAGCGTTAGCAGGGCTGGGCCTTGGGGGCAGGGTGGGAGAAAGCATCAGACAGCCCTGGGTTCCTGTGTCACCTCACCCTTGTTCCTGGGTGACCCCAGGAAGGAGTCTTAGCCTCTCTGAGTCTCAGTTTCCTTGTCTGGGCAATGGGCAGAGTCAGCCTGCCTCCCGTACGGAGGAGAAGGTCATCCTCCGGGTCTCCAAAGACCTCTTCCTTCCACAGCCCCCATTTCACAGATGGGGAAACCGAGGCTCAGAGAGGGGCCACGGCTGGTTCAAGATCACACAATAGGGAAAGGAGCTGAGGGTTGCTCAAGCCCCCCACTCCCCCCACCCATCCTCCAGCTTGGGACAGGAGGGAAGAGTGGGTTCCATGGCTCTCGGGGGCTTCCCACCCCACCTGGGAAGGCCCTCCGGACCCCAGTACTGTGGAGGTCACCTTGCCAAGGTTCTGGGGGGCTCCCAGGCCCTGGCAGGGATCTCCCCCTCGCACGCCTCCCCTTACCTTGCCCTTGGGTTTGGGAGGATCCCGTCCTCCTTCTTCGTGGGCGGACATGGTAATAAAACTCTAAGCAGCTGGAAGGGGGGCGGAGAGGGTGTGTAAATAGGGGGCCCCCAGGCCTCCTGCCCCACGCCCGTAAGCCAGGCGGCCCCCCGACCACACCCCCAGCCTCACCCTGGCATTGCTCACCTGGAGTGCGTGAGGGCCCTTTGGAGCCCCGGAGGCACAGCCCGCTGCCGGCTCCGCGGTCGGCTGCCAGGCCTTATAGGGTCTGGGGCAGGCGC